GTTTCTTGGATATCATGGGAACGAATTCAATATTAATTTAAAAGGGACTAATTATTCGGGAGAATATTAGGAAAATTTAGGAATAGTTATCACTATAATTGATTCAAGTCAACTCAAAGAGTAGAAACTAGCAATCTATAGAGTGAATCCTAAATCCCAATACTTCAAGTGATTGTATTTTCATCATCATTATATTCTTTATTTAATTTTATTCTTTATATTTTTATCAAAATTATCCATTTTATCTATTTTTCTTGAATTATTAATTATTTAAATTAATAAAAGTGTAACTTTTCTATAGATTCGACACTTAAAATACTTTAAATAATTTATTATTGTGATCTCTTACACTTGCGAGAACGATCAATATAAGTTTTGTAAACATTCTGCACAAGCACAAATATTTTAGTCACTTTTGGAGAGCATTATATCAGAACTGAAGTCCCTACATGCTGTTGCATTTAACTGCTAACGGTCGTGTTAAGTGTATCCGCCATCACCATTTGTTGAACTTTGCTGTATATTAAATCAATATTTAGCAATAAAATTGGTCTTCTCACAGAATATATTAAGAGGGGAAAAGGCAACAACCGTGGGAAGCGCTATATTGTGTCAAATGCCTATGGGTCGCACGGAAGAGCCAAAGGAGATATCAGCAATTGTTTGCCCTCTTTTGCCTTCGTGCTGCTTCGTATATCACTGGTCAGATCATTTGTGCTGATGTGGGTTCCACAGTTTGAATGGTTTTGCTGCCGTAAAAACATTCAGTCAATGCCATAGCAAGTTTGCGCAGTGTGGATCAAATGTCTAAATATATTCAATCATGTGAAAATTACTAAACCAATATTAATCACAATGATAAATATCAAATTTATAACAAGTTCACCATTTAATATAAAATTGGGTTAATTTCCATTTTTTTCTCGAATTATTCATCAAGGAACATTCAATATCTTAAATTTTTTGTCGTAATAATTTTGTTCTTGAAATAATTAAAATGTAGTAATTTTACACTATACTAAATACTTAAACATTAACTTTTACACATGATGTGAGAGAAAAATAGTTCAAATTTTTATTGAAAACATAGCTTGTCATGTGAATCTAACTCATTTATCTCTTTATGATTGAACGTATCAAATTAAATTTGTTCATCAATCAATCACTTTTTCTCTACCACAAAAAAACCTTCAATGGCAAAGTTCAAACCCCTCTTTGAGCTCTCTTCCTTGGGCTTCCATATGTTGATTTATTTAGGGAGAATGACATTTAAATTCTAAAGAACCAATTTAATTCAAATTAAGTATCAAAATATTCAAAACTGACATTAAAGTCCCAAATATTTTTAAAGCAATATATGATCTGAATAGAATGACTTGAAACTCCTTTTAATACACTTCTCTCTCTTCACCTCTCCCTCCGGGCATGTTCCTCTTTTTAATTCCAATGCCATGTCCCTCCAATATTCTCCCTCTCTATGGATCCAGCTGCGCTTGATGATATCTAGACTATCTAGATTTAATTTGAATGGTTCAAATTTAAAAATTTTATTTTTATATTTATTAGAATAACAATTTATAAAAAAATACAATTTTTTAATAAATTTGGTTGTCACTAATTTGGATAGTACAAATTTAATGTAGACAATCCAATTTAATATTAAAGTCGTTTATAATTTTATAAATAGACTATTCAAATGTACTATATATAATCTAAATTTAATATTATTTTTATATTTTTATAAGTTTTTTATATCAATACAATATTAAAAATAAAGATAATTTTATAATAGAAAATTTTCAAAAAATATTTTCTTAAAAAAATTAAGTTAAAAATTGTAAATATGAACTACTTACAGTAAATCTAAACAATTAATTTATAAAAATTATAAAAAATAATATTAAATTTTAAAAATCTATATTAAATACTAACTGTCCAAATTGATGATAAATGATGATTAAATAGATTTATTAAAAATTATACTTTTTTTAATTTTTAATTTAATAAATATGACATAAAAATAAAAATAAAAATAAAAATTTTAAATTCGGACAATCCAAATCTCATTCATGGTGCTTAAGATGTGTAATGTAACTAGATCCAAAATTGATGTGGCTAAAATGAAATACAATGGGAGGGAGGGAGACAGTAAAATGGCATTGGAATTTGAAAGAGAAAGATGAAGACTTTCAAATCATTCCAAATTTGACCAAATTGATTTAAAAATGTTTGGGACTTTACTTGTATTGAGGTAGTGGATGAATAAAAAAGAGCTCCTAGTAAGCTTGTTTTGTTTTTTTGGATGTAATTGTTATTTTTTTCCACTTATAATTCATAAAGAAGTGTGCTCGGAATTAATTGGGATTAAATTTTTTATTTGAGACCTTATTATTATCCCCTCATTTATTTAAGGGTAAATGTACAAATTTAACTGTATTGTTAAGGAAACAATTGTTATGTTTTAATTATTTTAAGAGCTAAATTACTACAACAAAAAATTCAGAACATTAAGTTTTTTTGGTAAATATTTCAAGTGCAGAAATAGACCCTAAGGCTGTAAAATTTAAAAGATTATCCTTAGGGGATTAGTTTCTCCTATTGACAATGGATTCTCCTAATCCCACCAAAAAAAAAAACAAAATTAATGAGTCACTTGTTTATTTGTTAACCTTTATCTCACTTAATTTTGGTCAGGAAATTACTTGGTATTCACTAAAATTTTGATGCTATGAGTTGAAGTGTTTTTTTTTAATTATTTTAGCACGCTCACATATTTGCAAAAAGAAGAGCTAATTCATAACGTTGCAAATTACTATTCGATAGGGAAATTGCATACATGTATGGGATGTTTATTGGGTCAACAAGTATTTTTAAAAAGAAGAAATAGAAGATACATTTATTTACTTTTCTTTTTAAATACAATTTTAATTTCTTTTTTAGAAAACATTTTTTTATCTACTAAACATTGCATTAGTGCCCCAATGGAGAATGGCCTCTAATAGAGAGATATGTACATAATTAAAGCAGTGCTAAAATCTCATTATTTTTTTATTTAATTCATATTACTTTCTCATATTAATTTTAAACACTCGTCGCAAAAAAAAAATGTCATTTAAATCTCAGTTTCTTTTTGCATCTTTATTTTAGTATGCCAAGTCAATTACTTTCGTGAATGGCAACGTTGTTTTGTTTGTACACTCATTTGAAATCAATTTCAGGATTAAAATTATAGTTCTATAAAAATTTATCCAAATATCTTTAATTTTATAAAATTTAATTCAGTTTGTGACATTCCATTTTGAAGAAACTATTTTTTTTTCTCTATTTGAAAATCAGTTATCAGGATTTGAGCATTTTTCATTTCCCCCATCTTTATAATTGATTCTGAAAAATTATTTAAATATCTTCAACTATTAACATCAATTTCAGAAAATATTTTTCAAATATCATCACATTTTGTTAATTAATTTTTGTCAATGAAAATCCAAACACACCCAAAAAATGAAAAATTTTAATAAGTTTAATACACAAATAAGCACTAAATGACCTTGCACTAATTATTGATTAATTAATTACATATTTAATTCTATTTATAAGATACTTCTAACATATTTTATTGAAATTGAGGAGAATTTTAAAACTCATTAATTTTGTTTAAAAATTTAATAATTTTTTAACCTTACCACTATTAAATATATATACTTTAATAATATATTTTTCCTCCCTAACATTCATTAAAAGTCAAATAAAAAAATTTATGATAAAAATTTAATAATAGGGCAAATAGGAAAAGAGGGAGTAGCCCCCCCCAAAAAAAAAATGTTTTGTTTGATCATTCTATTTCTGCATGACTTCAATTTTCTTCATTATCATATCAAAGATATCAGTAAATTCAATTGAGTTTGTAATACTACACCCTTGATCTAAAATACAAACATTTTTTCTTAACTAATTTCGGTTCAAAATATAACTAATTTGTACATGAATTTTTTTTTTATTTTACCCATTATATTTATTAATCTAGAATATATTGGTAATGGTAACTAGAACGAGGGATACAAAGAAAAACGATATATGTTTTTACAGAAATGAGGACATTATTCGTATGGGAATATTCTATCTCTAATCATGTTCAAAGCTGTGAGCAGAAATTGAAAAAACAAAATCATGGTAAACTAATTGGACGGAATAAAGTTGGCCAAGAAAATTGGACGGAATAAAAGAGATCCAATGATATTTTTTTCTTTGTAAAAATCCAATGTTCTTTGTTAAGATTATAATTGATAAAACGGCCCTATCTATCCTTAAAAAAAAAAAAATACAAATTTTATCGTAAACTAAATACTCTCCGCCCAGCACAATTACATACATTTGTTTAAACTTGATTGTGTATATCATATCATACTTAACATAAAATCTAAGACTAAGATAAGACGAACAGTATTTTTTCATAATTGATAAATAATGTGGATTTATTACGTATATTGATGATGATAATGTTTAAAAAAATTTGAATTTTAAAGGGCTAGGACTCTTATCAGAAATTTAAAAATAAAAACCAGGAACTCTATAAAAGTAAATAAATGAAGAATTGTAGAAAGAGACACTTTGTTCAGAGGTTCAGTTTATCTGTCGCCTTGCTTTTAAAGAACTTCTGGTACATCCTAAAGGGACCGTGCTCAAATTGTAAACTTTGTAAACTTATTATAAAAACAACCAAAGACACTAATGATGGTATTAAATAATGATTAATATTATTTTAGCATTATTGTCATAAGTGCTTCGTCCACGTGTCCCGCAAACGAGGCACCTCGAACGCGAGGAAGGGTCCGTCGTGCTCCAGAAGGTTCCAGCCAGCTCGTGACTTCAAATTTATAATCTGCAACTGCGGTTCAGATCATTCCACGCGTCCATATCACCATGTCAGCATCCGACGTGGCAGTCCTATATCCCTGTAATTGATACGCCCGTACTATTCTTGTTAGTCTTGATGTTTTCTTCATTTTGCTTTCCGTAGTCCCCTTCTTCTCCACCTCCTTCCTCTTGAGATCGGAAGTGGAGGAGTGTTCGTTTCTTGTTGGATTATCGTGATGAATGGAAATGAAGCAATTGAAGATGAGAAAATGGACAAGCACCTGGAGAAATTAGTCTATACGTGGGGATACCTTCCCGGAGCTCTGCCGGAGAAGGCTCCCATATTGTCTCCAGTTCCGGTCAGGCTTTCAGATCCGGTTCTAGCTGGAGATTCGTGGAAGGACGTGTGTGGAGGTGGTTGTGGATTCGCCATGGCCATCTCAGGTTCACTATCGATCTCTTATTCTACTACCACTTTTATAGAATAAGTTCAGATCGATTTGTTATTATCAAGTAGAAACTTAGATCTGTTTTAGACAAACAGATCATTCAAAAGAATACTGATTTGTATTGCTAAAAGTTGAACAGCGGATTCTGTTTTTTCTGTGGTTTTGCAATTTATAATTTTCTTCTTTTATGGTATATCTTCATTTCTATTTTAATTTGGTGCCTGTGATGATGGGACGTTGCTGTCTAATTTTCCGATTTTTGCACTGTGAATCTCAGAGAATGGAAAGCTCATAACGTGGGGAGCGGCGGATGATGAGAGTCAAAGCTACTCGACATCGGGAAAACATGGGGTAAATGCAGTATTCTTCTAATGTTGAACTTGCTTTTACAGTACATATTCTCCAATTGATTTTGTTTGCTGCTTCTCCCTGCGTGTTTTGTAGGAGACCCCAGAGCCTTTTCCGGTTCCCACTGAAGCTTCTGTGGTCAAGGCTGCTGCTGGCTGGGCTCATTGCGTCTCAGTCACTGGTATTGCATCTTTGATTCATAATAATTTTTACATAAACCGTAGATTGCAAAATTAGCAATGAAATTTCTCGGGGGATTATCACTGTTACGATGCTTGATATGTTAATTATAGATATCGAGATTGGAGGAGTTTAAATACTTTCAAGAGGACCTGAGAGTGGCCACTGACAATTGAACGATAGGTCGATACCTTTTTGTTTCCCCGGAAATTTTTCCTTAGATTGACCGTATTATGGCACCATTGGTTCTTTCTTTCTTTCTTTCGCGCGCGAGAGCGGACCCAATGGGGTTATGTCGGCAAATCTTTTGAAAACTATGTTGTGAATTCAACCTTACTTTCCCTGGATGCGTGGTTTTAAATAATTCCTTTTTCTTTGGATTGTTAGCTCATTTAAGGTCACGTTCTCTGTTGAATCGGGCCTTCTGCTATCTTTTTTGCATTTCCCGTTGTTTTTAATTGGAATTGAGTTTGGATTTCTATGCTTATGCATTGCCTTGTAGTGCGACATTCTACTTTGCCCTTGTAATGATGAGGCATTTTGGTTTGGTTACAGATTCAATCACCAATGTCCTTATTAACTGCAGTGCGCAAAAGTTGCCCTTAGCCACTGTCCTCACTGTTCTTTTTTCTTATAATAATAATCATACTAATGGGGCAAGTTTATCTTTGAACTTTTACATCATGTCATAGAATGGATTAATCTTAAAGTTTAAGTTAAGGAATCGATGTAAAGTTGAACTTTTGTCTCGTGATTTGGAAGTCCGATGGACATGAGATGTGGTAAACAAATATGATAAAGTAACACTGAACACTATTTTAAATTCTGTCTGTCACCATGAGACTTTGTGTGCGGAGGATTGAATTGTTAGGCTTTATATTCCCTCTCCGACTATGTCAAAGAAGCACATGCCTTAAATGTTTAAGCTTGCAGGGACACAACTATGAATCTTAAGACATGCGAAATTCTATGTCTATGTTCGTCATATTAGTGCATATTGTTCATGAAAAGGGTATTTGTGCTATTTGTTTCATGCTGATGAACAATTTCTTTCTTGGATCCGATTTTCAATAGAGTTTAAATGTTGTTTTGATTCAGAAGTACGGAAGAAAGGATATTACTTAATAGTGTGTTTGGATTAATGAGAATTTGGATTTGAATCAAATCCCTCATTTAGATATACAAAATATTATGAATTTGAATTTGATTCAAATCTAAATCCATTTCAAATTATAATTTCTTTGTAATTTTAAATTTCCTCTACACCCTAATCATTTGAAATTCTAAAAACTTAAAATATTTGCTCTCTTTGTGTTTTCATTATTGATTCCTCTACTCTCATGTCTTTTCTCATTCCTTGTCGATTACAAAATATAAATAAACTTGTCATTTCTATTTTTCTTTTTTTTTGCTTTGAATCTTATTTCATCTCTCTTCTTCATTTGAAATTTTTAAAACTATTTAAACAAAGGATTTTAAATACATGGATTCGAAATGTGAGATTTCAAATCTAAAATCTAAATCCATCAATCTGAAGACTGCCTAAGAGTTTTGCTTATTGAAGCTTGATTTCTTTCTTTGGTTATGCCCTTCCATGTTGTCTGACAAAAATTATGGAATTTATGGCTTTATGTGCAGAGCAAGGTGAAGTATATGCATGGGGCTGGAAAGAATGTGTGCCTTCTGGAAAAATTGTTGGCGATTTCCTCATTGGTAGAAACCTTCAAAAAGATGCTGCTGGGAAACAGAGCTCTTTGGTGACTGAACAAGGTGGCCAAACATTGCTCATACATGCAACAGAATAATTAACAAAACATAGAGATTTCTTGACTTCATTTCAGGGCGCTAATGGAATTCAGACATTAAACAGGAAGCCCACAAGGCTCGAACACGAGTAATGGGTCAGATTCACAACTTGACAACAAGAAAGTTGGAGAGGAAACTATAAAGCGTAGGAAGATATCACCAGCCAGGCTAGAATCTGACAGTCCATCGTCTGGAGATGAATTTTTTACAGTATCTCCTTCACTTATTACTTTTGGTCATGGGGTGAAAATTACCACTGTAGCAGCAGGGGGGAGGCATACATTGGCACTGTCAGGTAATTTCTTTGTGTCCATCTGGACAAATGGTTATGTCCTTTTATTTATTTATTTATTTACTTTTTGATAGTACATGGAAAACAAGTTATGTCCTTTTAATTGTAGTTGGATATTCGTTGTTGTCAATGTATATAGTTTTTTAGGTTCTTTGAAATACGGAGGTATGAGAGGTTTTTGATTTTTTATTTAAAGCAAGACACCTGATGCACCATATTTTTACCAAAGTTTTCAGATGTGGGACAGGTCTGGGGTTGGGGCTATGGAGGTGAAGGACAGCTAGGTTTGGGTTCTCGTGTTAAGATGGTTTCCTCTCCTCATCTCATACCTTGTATTGAGCCATCAACTTCTCAGAAGGATAAGCCATCGGTAATTCATCAAGGAGGTTTGGGTGCTACAACTCAAGCTTCAAAAGTCCCAGGGACTTATGTGAAGGAAATTGCTTGTGGAGGTCGGCACAGTGCCATAATAACAGGTCAGCATATCATAGATATCTTGTTTTCCAGCATAACCATGGCTCAAGTGCTCAAGATTTTGAACAAAATTGCCATTATAGTTTTTTTTTTTTAATACAAAATTACAAGCTACAAGGGTACAATACAAAATCTAGTGTCTGTAGCTACCATTGCAGAATTCGGTTTGGAAGTCTGTGGATCAAATACCAAATGTTTTGTCCACTTTTATGTAATTGAAAGGATGTGCCAGTAAGTGGTTAATATGTGCATGCCTCAAGTAGCTTCGTTTCTTTCTCTTGCAGATGTGGGGGCACTACTTACTTTTGGCTGGGGCCTGTATGGACAGGTATTTCTATGGTTAGAAGATTATTATATACCCCCTTTATTATTCATATTGAGGGAAGGAACTCAGTTTATCTTGTTAAGGATAAGTTGGCACTAATGTAATAATATTGTCAAGGAAACAAAAGACTCTCACGAAGTGGTATGCGAGACTAATGATTTGGATATGACATAAATTTTAAGATAATATATGAGCGCATGCGCGCGTGTGTTTTCATATTTCTTCAAGTTTGACATGTCAACTTGATAGTGTCATGTTGCTTGTTTGTTTGAGTGTCTGCTCTTGGCAAAATTTGGGTTGGCAAGAGGTAGATTTTGAAGTTGTTTGGCCCCAAAAGAGGAAGAAAGGGGAAAGTATTTGAAAGCAGTTGTCATGAATTAGTTGTGATATCTGCTGACACCTATTAGAACGAAAAAAATGTCATTCTTGGAAAATGGTTTTTGTTTTCTGGTCTGTATAAAAGTAAGAGAAACCCAGGTGATAAAGATGAATTATGCACGGAGGTAAAAGAAAGATAAGGAAGTGATTTGGAATGTAGAGGTAGGTGTAGTTTTGTTATTTGTAACCACACAAAAAAAAATCTCTTGCTTCTAGGATTTATAAAGCCATCCCTACTTTCTATTTAAAATGCACAATGACCATATTAAACTGTGGTCCTATTTGGTTGTTAGAAAGGATGGGAATGGAATGGATTGGATTGAAAAAATCAAAATAAAAATGAATTAAATTACCCTTTCCCCTCATGATACATATGATAAAACTCAATACTATAAACAACAAATGTGAGAATCATCACATTCTTTAAAAATCTCATGAATCATGATTCTTAATCACATGCACTAAAATTATCTTTTTTTTTATGAATATGGTTTGCCTATCCCCCTCCACATTTTGATCATCTTACTTTTACTTTTATTTTTTCAATCCATTCTATTCCATTTCTTTCTATCTAGCAACAAAAAAGGAGCCTAGGTCAGCATAATTCATTTCCTTTATTCTAGACACAGGACACTCTCGACACAAGCACTATACATTGACACAACATAATGCTACTAGTTTTAGCAAATGGTACATATAGAGATGTTAAAATAATTATTTTACCAATTGCGAGGAGATATCTCTAGAATGTATGTAATGTGTCCAGCATGCATGTGAGAAGTGATAAATATTTTTCTTGTTCCAAAAAGTCTGTTCAAAGGTGTTGGGACATATCTTTCTTCTAGAATTGATGAAGACATGAGAGACATACTACTAAAGTTTAGGAGGAACTCGCCACTACTCACCCCCTCAATAAAGTTATAAAATTTTCTGTAGTCATAAAACACTGCCATGAAGTGAAAGGATATGTTTTTTAGTGGCGCTGTCTTATAAATAATTAAGTGGCCTATCTGAGATTCCCATATATCTTTTTTCATTCAAATTTTGTGCAGTGCGGGCAAGGGAGTACTGCCGATCAGCTGAGACCAACTTGTGTACCTTCTTTATTGGGAACTAGAGTGGAAAAAGCTGCTGCAGGACTATGGCATACACTGTGTGTAACTGTAGATGGTCATCTTTATTCATTTGGCGGGAACCAGTTTGGACAGCTGGGTACAGGTTCTGACCATCTTGAGGTATTTTCAAGGCACTGTTGGTTCTGAATTTTTACAATTTTTCTGTAAAATAATATCAGTTTGGTCCCGCATTACATCAACTAGCGCATTAATTTTAATTTTAGTATGATCTTTTGTTAGTTTTAGGAAGAAGTATCATTTTCTCAACGTGTTGGGAGAATAAAATCTTTTGAACATCAGTTCTCTTAATAAGCAGCAATGAAGTATTATGCTATTCTTACGGGAATCAAGTACTGTTATTGAGGAGAATCTGATTGTGATCAGTAAGGATAAATTAAGACTAGACCTTCCAACCTAAATGTATTGAATCAACTCAAAATTTTCAGTTAATAACTAAACTTGGGTCTTTGCAGTCAATCAAATGAAAGCTCACCTACGGATATATTTGTGATTTAGCCTACAGAATTGTTTATTTGTGTGGTTATATTTGAAGAAATATAAATATTTTTCTGTTTAACCATTGTCTTGAGAAATGCGTTAGCTTAGTTAGGAGATGATTCTTTTGCCTGTGTTTTACTTACCCTATTTATATCTGTTTCAGGCGTCACCTAGACTCTTGGATGCTTCGTGTTTGGAGAATAAGCACTCTAGTGTGATTTCTTGCGGTGCTCGTCATAGTGCTGTACTAACAGGTGCGTTTTCAAAACTACATGCTGAAGGGAACCTTCTAGAGCCATTTAGGGCTTTTATATTGACCGAGTACGTCCCATTTATTGTTGTTATTTTCAGTGGGGGTAGGGAGTAGGATAATTGAGGAGTTACTTGTGCAGGAGAATCGTTATTTATTAAAACATGATAACTGAGTGACTGCATACCCAACCATTTCAAGTTAATCATATGAACTAAACTACTCAAGATACTATAAATCAAATGAACTTTTGGCAGACATTTACCCCAACTTCCTAAATACTTTATTCAAGTAAATCCACGGCAGCTCAGTCACTGCTTAAGTACTCCTTTGGAATTGTTATGGCCTGATAAAAGCTTTTATTGCATAATTGTTAAATAAAAAGCGTTCTTGTTCTTGAGGATGTTAATGTTGTCTGGTAGAAATACGATTAAAAATCTGTGGATTGCATATTCACTAACAGCCATGTTTGAATTTTCTGGAGATCTAATTGAGTTGAATAGATGATTTGAAATTTAGAAATGACGTTTATTTATTCTTTTTTAGAAAGATGAAAGTTTTTAAGTCAATAATAATTGTTGTAGCGGCAGCATAAGCTCTGAAAATTGTTCCGCTAGGTAGTTCTCGAAAGCATAACTTGCAGCTTTTGAAATGCTCAATGTTTATGACTTGTAACAACATTCTTTAAGATTTTGCTGCTCTAGCCGCATGAATTGAAAAAAATTCCATCATTTCCAAACTCGATGGCTTTTATGCGTTGGCCTAAGCTTAATATCTTTCATCGTTGAATATAATCACTATTTAAAGCTGATTTCTAATTTTTTCTTTTTATATCTGAACTGTTCAGAGACATTCTTGATACTGTTCCACTTACTCTTACAACGACTGTTTTGTTTGCATGTTGAAGACGATGGTCAATTTTTCACTTGGGGATGGAACAAATATGGCCAGGTACTCTAAATCTTGAGTTTAGCGGATACAATAGGAGTGAATAAATGGCGGTTGCTTTTGGATTATGTGGATTGGAATTATTAAAATTGTTTATTGTCAACTTAATTAATCTTATAATGTGTTGAGGAAATTTTTTTAAACATCCAATTATCATGTAGTAATCAGTAATCACCACTATGTTTTCACTGTATTGAGAATGAAGGAAAAAAATTCTTCGAGATTTATTTTTGTGTTTATATATTTGATGTTTTCCCCTTTTTATGAGCATATGAGTTGAAGAAAATGAATGATATAAAAAAATATTTAAATAGAAAAAAGAATATTTATATTGAAAATTTCTCTTCCTATTTTCATCCACCTTAATCCCATACATACTTGAAAAGTTTCTCCTCAATTACATAATTGGTTATTGTCTCTCTGCACAGCTTGGTTTGGGGGATTCTGTTGACAGAAACATCCCATGTCAAGTATCTATTGGTGAATGTCGACCAAGAAATATAGCATGTGGTTGGTGGCATACGCTACTGGTGGCTGAAAAATCCGTTTGATTCCAAGTTTGTCAAATAGTGCAATCTAGAGGAGAAGGTGGCACAGTTTTGATAGGATTTTGGTAATTCACTAGGCGACATATCATTAGTGGGACGTAGGTGTGTCCAAAATCACGCAGCATGTTTCTTCATCTTTATATATTTCTTCTGATTTCGCTATCTAGCTCTTTCCTTGGTAGACTTTAGCTTTGGCGTTAACATTATTGAGATATCAGATCTTTTGGTTTGCTTACGCACAAGTAAGTGTTTGCGACTGTTCGGTTTATTCCGATTTAGAATTATACGAGTCTTGGTCTCTTAGGTACCGGGAAAATGCTGCGGAATTTGGGTTATACCTTGGCTGTGCTTGGATTCAATTTGGAGCGTTTTTTTTTTTTAAGTCATTAATTGTAGGATCTTCACTTATTATTATTTTTATTTTACAGTATACAATTAAATAACAGTTGTTATCTTATAGCAGATTTCCTCACTGGTCGATTGATGAAGGTAGCGTTTTTGACTAGTTGACGATCGCGTCACCCAAAAAACTCGGTGGGGTTTTGTGTCTGTCTAGCAGAAATAAGAATTTTGTTCAGGAACTTGGAATTATCTAAGTACAAACCCCAAAAACAAAATATGAAGGAAAGTTACAATCACAAACCTAGTAGACGTGTTAAATGAAAGTGAAAATTTTATAGTATTGAAATGTTATGGAAAGATTATGATTTTTATGTACAATTAAAAGACTCTTAGCTCTATTATTGAAATAGTGGTAAAAAATTAACTGAATATAAGAAATGGGGCTTGTGAATTCACTTGTAAATTTTGAATTTTAAAAACGTTACATATAAATTTATAGAAAGTCTAGAGTAAAAAAATATAAACAAGAAAAGTCTTTAAATAAATATAAATGAAACTTCTGTCAAGTTTCTAATACAGTTTTGAGAAATTGATTTCTTTACTTATCCCACTAGAAATGAGATTTGGATCCTTTAAATTTTTAATTTGAATGGTTTAAATTTAAAGTAATATCATTATATTATTATATATTATATTTCTTAGAATAAAAAATTGTAAAATTTATAAAATAATTTTAATAACTTTTTTTATTTTTTAATCTATTCTAAATTTAATTTAGGGAGTTTGGTTTAATATTAAAATTTTTATAATCACTGTATATTAATTATCTCGATTTATGCTACACAGGATTGTGCAGGGTATATCTAAATAATTAATGTACATTAATTATAAAAATTTTATTATTAAATTAAATCTAGATTAAAGTAAAAATAAAAAAATTATTAATAAATTTTTATTTTAATAAATATAATATATAATAATATAATAATAATATTTTAAAATAGTGTTTGATTGAAAAAAAGGGAAGAGAAGGGGAAATTCTAAAAAGAAAAAATTCCTCCCTTTCATCTTATCAAACAAGAGGGGAGGAGGGCCTCCTCTGAATTTGGAGATCCCCCTTCCCCTCCCTTCAACCAAATAAAACTTAAATTTAAATTATTTAAATTAAAATTTAAATGGTTGAGATTTCGTATCAAGCTCATCCTTAAGATGAATATAGAACCTGGACTTCAATTTGGATCAAACTTGAATATTTAAGTTTATGAATCTTGCTCTTTTATTTGTTATTAACTATCAAGCTTAATTTTGTTTGACATAAAACTTTTCGCTTCATCTCCGATCCACCCACATGAATTATCATTAATATTTTTATAAGCTCTGTAATCGTCGTTTTGCCAATTATGAGCTAAAGTATCGCACCAATTTAAAACATGGGTTCTTATCATAAATAAATAAATAAAACACAGGAGGTTGAGGCTGACAGAATAAGGGATCATAAATGTTCCGCCGAGATCCGGAAATAAATTGTACTTCTAAGCCATAAAAACTGTTCTGATGGAAAGGCTTCATAATCATAATATACAGGATGTAGATCTGTCAAGAATTAATGCAGCTAACAATTAAACATTGAGGCCGACTGCTTGAATCTTGCCTTGAATAACACGATATTAAGTAGGCGATATATATATACAACCAGCTACAGGATCTGTGCCATTTCAAACTTTTGACAGGATATGCATTCTTCGTTATATGCAGATGAAATAGATCAAATTCTATGTGACAGAGCTTGTTCCAGTCTGCAAAAGATGCAACAAAGGGCACAGAACATCCATTCTGTGAAAACCTCTGGGAACCTGATCCAAATAAAACCATCTCAGAACTAAAGCTCCATTTATTATTGCAACAATGAAGGTGAAATATTCTTGAGAACAGTCTATCACGTATAGATGAATTAGACTAATGTCAGTAATGTGCATATAGGCACATTTTTCGGCGAGACCCATCTTTGATGATTAACCCCACCTATCTGAAAATCATGCATTTAATCAAACTAGGCTGGTTATTATACCTCAACAATGAAACGGGCCAAGGCAGTGCTTGAACTGCTTTCTAAAACACCTTTCAATATGGTAAGCTCCAGCTGTCGAATCACTTGGGCAATCTCAAAGAAAAGTCCATGCTCACTGCATATCACCTGCAACAAAAATGGAATGCCATTCATTTAACATTCACTTCAAGTTTTTCTGGTCTGGTAAATTTAATTAGCAAATAGTTTTTGTGCGCGCGTGCGTGTGGAGATTGAAGAAAACCTCTATAAGCATGTGGCCAGGGCATTCAAGATCTTCTATGACTATGGGGAAGACTTGGAGTTCACTGCCAAAGTCAATTGCGCAACTCCTCCCAGTATGATTGCCATTGATTTTCTGCTTCAGCTCGGGCACCTAAGTCAAGTCAGATTGACCAATGTCAGCAGCCTATATGAAGCAGTTTCGCCAAAAGATTTTACAAGCTCCTTTAACCTCCCAAAGTTTCATTTTTGTTAATGGATAATTCATGCATTTTCCCTCCTAGAAAACTCCCAAGAGAGCCTGGTTCAGTGCAGTACAAATCAACAAAGTGCCAACCTTGCAAAATGGAGGTTGTCATATAATCTAAAACTGGAGGTGAGAGTGTAAAGTTTTATCCACTTCAGGAGAGGTTTATAGCATAAGGTGAATCCAGAGGAGCTGAAGTTTCAGTTTGCAATTCTTAAGAAGTAATGAAATTAATTTAAAGATAATATTTGTAGCTTCCGTGGAATGAAAGATAGGGCCACACATCTTTAATTGCTAAAATTAATCCACTTTATCTGGACTTAAGTTCCTCAGATATACAGTCAGATTTACCTCTTTATGCTCAAACTGTTTCAATTTCTCAGCCTGGTCTGTTACTTCTCTCAAGTATAGCATGTGCTTTATGGCCCGATCTAAGAGGTTGTCAATGCTGCACTGCAAATCATAGAACATCACAGACAATATTAAAAAGTTTCCTTAGGGACTCTAAAATGTTCAACTTTGGTCCTGGAGAAGCATCAACTTACCTTGGCACCATCTGGGACAAGTTCCCTCAGCTCCTTCATCCGGTCCATGATCAACTGTCTGTCCCTTGGTCTTGGCCTTGGTGTATTTCCTGCACGGGCTCTTTTCTTGCCAATACTAGGGTGTTTCGATCCACTGTTAGGCTGCCTATGAACATGAACAGATTCCTGCTGTGCCCCATCAAGCAATATGCCTGAATTGTCATCCAAAGATGCCAACGTAAGAAGGTCAGTACATTCATCTATGTTGGCCCCAAATGCAGATGGAAGATGGCTACTAGAATCACCATTATACGCAATCAAAGTGCTTCCCTCAGAATGACTTTGTGGATGAATGGAAGCAGTAAACACGGTTGGCAAAGTCGATGAAGAATCACCAGAGGCACTGGATAAATTGCCAAGAACTGCATCCAAAAGATTTTCTGATTTGTGTCCCTCTGAAAATTTTATGCCCCTAATATGACCGAGCTCTTTTTCACCAGATATCGACGTGGAGCTAGCACTGTAAGTATCCTCAGCAGATAAATATTCCAACCCAGGTTCAGAAGTTTGTCTATTAGTAAAAGGCCCTAGTGCTTTGTGTAATTCAGAATCCAATGGAAAATTGAAACTATCCACCTTATTACATTCTTCATGATCAGTGTCAGTATCTCCAAATTGTTCTGCCATGTCATTGTGAGAGTAAGAAAATTGTCCTTCAGATGTCTGTCCAAATACTCCCACGTTATTGACACATGGAGAACAGGTCCCTATCACTTCTTCCATTCGGTTTGATTTGATTTCCACCTGACCAGCATCATTTGACACCCCAGTTGATGGGGGAATGGTCTCATTTTTCCTGGACCTGGAACCACTTTCGACCGGAATAGACAATGGGACAGTTGGATTCAACCTCAGTTCATTTATAGTAAGTGAATTGCCACCAAAAAGTTCACGTGTCAGGATAGTGTTTGTAAGAGATGATACATCAGAATTATCTAGAGGACAGTTTGTTAGAGCCGAGAATGACCAATAGTGAATATTTTCATCTGAGCTCAATGTCAGAGTATCTGCTGTTGCATGATGAAAGAAATTGAATTTCTCCTTGACATTTGCAACAAAGACCAGATCTTCGGCAACCTAAAATCTTGACAGGAAACAAGAGATCCAAATAAGTAAAACAAACATCATCACAAGGCATATAGAATTTGACCCAAATGTTCATTTCAGCCAATAGCTATTGCACGCTTCTAAACATTCTGAAATGCACTAATACTAAAATGAGCATGAGATAACGATAAGTAAAACAACTGTGCTGATTTGGTGACATTTGCATGCTGATATATATAGAGAGGGAGAGGCCACATAGGAAATACTTTAGGTAAGATACATAGTTCAATAAAATTTAGACATTCTGATTCAATGTGTGCTGCTATGACATGAGTCACTCAATCATTTGAAAACCCACTGCTTTTTTAGGTTCCAAGTATAGAACAAATACACACCGCTTTGAATGAGCCGAATTGCAAAACTCCTTGTGGAAGAACGGGTACCAGTACGATAGTCTGAAGAATGATTTGAAGAAAATAAAAGGATTGTCATTAATCAACTAGTACATCTTTATGAAAATGGCATGTAAATTCATGATTCTTCAACTAGGCAGTTATGTCTCAGCTGAGTTGGATACTGAACTAAGTAGCACACAAATGGAATGCAGAATCATTCATCCAGACATTAGAGCTGGAAATCAGACCTTTCACTTAGGTATAAAGTATGAAGGAAAAAAAAAAAAATCAAGACTAGAAATTAATACCTTGATAGCTGATGCAAATTGAAGAAGCCATTCATTTAGACACTGCAGGAGGAAAAGATTAAGAATATATATCATTAAAGAAAAAATTAATACTTCATAGCAATACTCTGTAGTTTCATGGAGAACTTATATCATTACATTAGAATCTCACCTCATTTTTCAACTTAGTCTGGAATTTACCAGTAAGAATATCCTCAAATAAAATCCAACAATGATCTCCAGTAAGAGCTATTTTGCCGACAGCCCTGACAGAGTAATCACAATTGTGGTTAGCATGAGCTTCCCGTTGCTTTCACGATCATAAAAGAGATTTTTTTTTTTTTCTGGTATACACGAGTACAAAACAAGCAATATAGCTGCTTATTTTTTCCTAACAGCCTAGATAGGTGATATTTTTTAAAATGCAAAGAGAAAGCACTATGCAGCCACTGCTTCAATAATCAATAATGATGGAATGTGTATAACTACAATTTCAATCATAATGGCTCAATCAGATAGAAAAAATACTGAACCTTTCAACCTCATGAAATTCTTGCCTCATCCAAGATTCATCTGCTTATAATTTTTCAACCGTATATATTCTCATATTTCTGACGAGCCACTCACTTTATGTATATATCGATGTACATAAATATTATGAACAAATATTAAGAAATACATGGTTTATAATTACTACCATAAAAAATATTAAAAAAAAATTATGCTTTTACCCCTCTCCCAATATGTACTTCAGACGAGACATTTCAGTCATGAGTAATCTAACAGAACTCTCTTCAGAACTACGTATAGTTTCACAACTTGAAGAAGCCACCTCCGTCCACATATTTTCCACAGCCTCATTGGTTTGCAAATCACAATAGTATCCGTCTTCCCAGGTCAAAGTCCTTGTGCAATAACAAGACGTGCAAAGACATCATAAGTAAAAAAATTTGAAATCCTAGTTTATTATTTGATGCAGTGTCAGAAAGCTTAAACCAATTACATATGTTATATGAATACTTTCTAAGTAGATTCATAACAAACAACAAAATAGTAACTGCAATGCAGCTAGCTTCCAATGTGACTAAAAGGATTATGATCTTAAGGAGTTAAATTGTGTCAAACAAATTGCATCCACAAACATAGAAGCTATTGAAGATGACCCATATGACCGAGAATTTTAATGAACACATGTAACAACAAATTACAACTAACAAGTTTTTTTCTCCACGGAGATATCCACAAGTCATCCAAGAATACTGCTCCAAGAAATCAAAGCCTCTCAAGCACAGTCCTTCTAGAGACAATCCGTGTTTATGTTTGTATGTTACAAAGTGCTAACGCTTCGGTCCTGTTTGGTTACTAGAATTAAATGGAATGAAATGGATTGAAAAAATAAAGACAAAAATGAACCAAATTGCTCTTTTCCTCATGGTGAGCATAATAAAACTCATTATTATATATTACAAACGTAGAAATCATCACTCTCCAAAAATCTTATGAATTATAATTCCCCACCGCATGAATTAAATTACCCTCCCTCTTATAAATGTGATCACCTATCTCCTTTAGTCATCTTATTTTTTTTAATCAATTCCATTCTAATAAGCAAACGGGACCATCAAGTTTTATTGTTTTGGCAATGCCTGTGTCAGTGTCCATGCTTCTTATATCAAAGCAATTATTATAAAGAATAGTCTTGCAAGGTGATCCTGAAGCAAAGTCAAAAGTGAAGTGATCTTATACACTAATTAGCTCTTATTATTAGAACCATTGACTTTCAACTAAAAAGTTCAGATTGAAGAACATGTTGAAAGATATTTATTAAAGGAACAGGAAATGTTATTCCTATTAGTTGATCATACAATTATCACAGCAGCACTATAAAAGAATCGTTATGTACTCCTCATATGACTAAATGAAAAGCATTTTCTCAGATACAAACATACTTTCTATTCTCTATATTTTAGTAATTTAGTAATTCCAAGACAAATTCAACTGATTCAACTAGGTTTCCAATAACAAATGAAGGACAAAGAAGCGTCTCAATAATCATAGAACAAAAGATCTTACATTGGAAAATGGTGATTAAGCTTCCAAAATACAGCATAATTCCAATGTGAGCAATCACAAAAGCTCTTCAGCAACTTCATCATAGAAGTGGCTTCCATCTATGGATCTTCCAAGGTGAAATATTACAGCAGAAACCCGAAAGCTGCAACTAGCTTCCCCTGTATGAACCTCGACCAGCTTGCTTGATCCTTAAACCCTTTCTTCTTTTAATCGGTGGTCCTGTTGCACCAAGAAGTAAAAATACCACCATAGCTTGTTCCCAGCTCAAGATTATGAGAAAATAAACGAAAAAAGCCGTCCTGTGATTATCAATAACGACTAGAAGCGTCTAGGGCTTTCACATTTCTTGGCATTCAAACAATTTCCAAGTGAACTCTTACAAAACTTTGGCCGCAGAGAAGCCTGCAAGAAGGAAAACACTAATATAATAAGATGACAGAAGCTTATACGGTAGGTTTGGTTACTGAAAATTTAATGGAAAACGAAAATGTGTAGGAAAGTGGTACTGGAGAGCAGTTTACGCAGCAATAAATAAGACCCATTGGAAACATCAAGCTCATTAAGCCAGAGTAATAGAACCAACACAAGAACCAAAACTTGTATTATGTTCCCAGCAACCGAACATCATTTTCTCAGTAAGAGAACCAACTGATAGGGAAGAAATGTGGCAAGAAATGTAGCAGAAACTAGGACAGGAGAGTAAGATACTGAGCAAACAACAAAACCCACTAAAGCCAGTAAGATTAGTCGAGCCAGAGCAAATGTAAAAACCAAAAGGAAAAAAAACCATCAAACCTTTTGCGTCATTTTCTCAGTTACCATACAGATATTTAAGTTGAGCTAGTCTGCACTACTTACCCACCAGCACTGATGAATAACCAAAGAAATTCACCATACATGAAAGTCCATAGACGTGCAAAGTGCAAACTACTAACAAGTGAATTCTGGCACTCAGATTGGTGGACTATCCAAAATCCAAAGAATCAAAACACCAAAAGAAAAGGTGGAAAAGAGGAGAATGCCGATTTGTCTTTTCCCCTCGATAATCTAGAACCAAAAAGACTTGAACCTCGAAGCTAACAGCAACCTTCTATATATAATATTTGCCATTGTCACCAGCCAACCACTCGATTTCTCGCTGTGTGTGTTGTTCCTTTGCGGACTCCAAAAAAAATAACACTAGAGTTGATAGGAGAGTGGAGTTCGAGGCCCTGACAGGGACAGGAGCTGCTCAGGAGACGCGAGCGAGCGCGTGGGACAAGGAATTTGAGGTGGTCAAGTGAATCTTCTCCTCGGGATTCTCTCATATTCCTTACATTCATTATGCAAATACCGAGCCAAGAACCAACAAAGTTGAAATACAGGTTGCCCACAAGAGGATCGCGATTTTCGGAACAGCATCAAAGGAATGCTTCGCTATGAATAGTCATATAAACCCTTCATTTCTTCCTAGCTCTAATAATTTAATTACAGTTTCTACTTTCTAGAAAGTGGTAACTGTTATTTGATCCTATAATTTTAATAATCCATTATAATTTAGTTTGTGATTTTTTATTCATTATAATTTTAATTCATTTTCAATTCAGTTTTTAAATTTTGTTTCAATATGATATAATTTTTATAATTTTAATAATTTAAAATACCAATCTTAATATTTTATAATATAAAATTTAAAATATTAAAGTTATTTCTTGAAACTAACATTTTAAATTATTAAAACTATAGAAATTAAAGACTTGTTTGGTTTCTATTCTTGTTTTTTATTTTTAAAAACCATCTTGTGATTCAATTTTTGAATTTTTTTTTACAAGAAAAGTTACAATAATTTTCAATTGGTTTTGGAATTTAAAAATATAATACTAGTGATGGTTGTAGGTGATTAATGTTGGTGATAGTTTATTATAGAAATTAATCAAATTAATTATATTTTTTAATAATTAAATGTAGTGTGTTATAAATATAAGAAAAATAAAATAAAAAACTTTAAGATGTTTTCATTTTTTTAATGAGAATAATTTTAAAAATAATTCAATTCAAAATACTTATTCAAACAATTTTTTAAAAAATTTTTGAAAATATAAACCAAAAAAGTCTTGAGTTGCATTTAATTAAAGTTTAAAAATTGAATTGTAACTGAGTTAAAATTATAGTAATTGAGGTGCACTAAGTTAAACTTTAAAGACCAAATGCTGAGTATTTTGACCAAATAATTGAATTTTTTCAATAAATTATGATTAAATTCTGACTTTTATTTATGGTGGAAGTATTATCTTTGAAAAATAGCAAGAAAAAAGAGATGGGACAGTGCAAGAAAAAAGTAGTTAGGAAAAAGGAAAAATCCTGAAGCTTAAATATTTAGCTCTTAAAGTAATAATATCCTTCAGCTAGTAATTTGGAGTGAACCTCTTATTTTGGACAAATGTATTTTGTCCTAATCTGTTTTGAAATATGCACTTCCTTCATTTAAAAATGTAAAATATTTTTAATCGAATTTTACTTCCTAATAAAGTAATTACATACATTTAAATTAACCCTATCTTTTCATATTTACCCTTATTAAATACCCTATAATAAATATGAAGTCATTATTAATAGGAATACTTTTGAAAAAAAAGGTAATGATTACATCTTGAAAGACTAAAAATACTTTACATTTTTAAAATTGAGTTCTTCAAAAAATATCTTATATTTTTAAACAAAATAAGTACAAGTTAGGAACATTTTTTGTTTTAATTTATCAAGATGTTCCAAACTCGCTCGTTTTTCACATCCTGTTATGCGAGATGAAAGTAACCTCAGGATGATGGGACTAAACTTGAGATGAGATAAGATGTAAAGTTGAAAATTCCATCTCATTATAGAGGTAAGGGCTATCCTAATTAATCTCATCCCTTCCATCCCATTGACACCTTGAGAATGGAATGAATCATAAATATGACCTAAGATTTGGGGTCAATGTCTATTATTAAGCTCATTTACATGTGTCTTCGTTTTGCTTCTATCTTAATTTGATTCTCTTCTGTTTTAAAGCTCATTTATGAAAGAGATTCGGCGCAGCGATACCTAAGTCAAGCTCTGCTGCTTCTGAATAATGATATTGGCATATTGAAGCTAGACATGTTTTTAGAGAAGGCATAATTTGTATGGAGATTGGTTAGCTAAATTTGGCATGTTAACTATGGTGTTAATTGCAGGTTCTTAGAGGAGCTTCCTAGCTAAAGAGCTCTTGTACTAGTTGTATCGAGATGCTAGTTTGGGCTTCATCCCTTTTCTTATTAAAAAATAAAAAAAAATCCTCAAACCTGCTCCCTCTTTTTTTATTTATAAAAGAAATTGTTATTTTTTTATTTTGTATATAAAAAATTATATTTTTCAATATTCATTTACTATAAATTTTTAAATTATTCATCATAATTTTATCATTGACAATCATAACAAACAATTAACAAAAACTTAATTAACATAATTAACAAAGGATATTTTAATTTAATTTTTTATTTTTAAATATAATTAATATGATTAATTAATTTTTTAAACTATGTGATATAATTTTTTCTCTTATAAAAAAAAGAGAAGGAGCAACATTTTGGATTAATCATGAGGAAATTAAATGGTCCACATTTTATTATATATTTTAGTTTAAATATTTGATATCCTTTATGCTCCCTCCAATTTTATTTATAAATTACATTTTAAAAAATATATTTAATTTTATTTATAAATTACAGTATAACTTTTTACATAATATTTAAAAAATATTTTTTTAAATTATCATTTGTGAAAAAGAAAAAATAATAAGACTTTATTTTTTAAATTTATTATATTAGAATAAATTTAAATTTAAATATATTTTTATTTTTATATTTTTTTATATTAATATTGAGGGGATTGATAAAAATAATTAATAATAAAATTTGAAAAAATATTGTGGATGAATATTTATTGAATATTTTCCCTTGAATAGGCAAAAAGATGCCTCAGCATTAATGGAGCCTGCTAAAATTTTCATCATTGCATTCGGGTGTGCATGTTTCTTTTCTAACGATTCCGTGTTAAAGGCTTAATGTTCCGCTGAACTCCATTTGACTTTATTTAAGAACACCGTATTTGAGTTTTATAGTTGAAAAACTTAAGTCAACACTTATTTAACTTTTTTTTTAAACGCTGTATTTGACTTTTTATCCTAGAGAAAACCAAAGTCAACACTTATCTAACTTTCATTTGACTATTTGATTAGCTTAAAAATTTTACTCCCTCTATTCCAAATTAAAATACATTTTTAAAAGAGTTTTTTTGTTTTAAAATATAGGCCACTTTGAATAGATTAAAGTTTTATTAAATACACCAATTTTAATATTATATTTTCCCTCTCTATAATTGATTTTTATCTTTTTTCTTTTCAATATATTAAATGATAGATATTTTTAAAAGTTTATATTTTTATTTTAAAAAAATAAGGTTGCTAAGTGTATTGAATAATATTTATTGATATGTAAAATTTTGCCTAAAAATGTCTCATAATTTGAGACGGAAAGAGTACTGTATTTTGCATGATTTTAAATTTATTGCATCAAAGAATATAAAATAAAACTTTCCATTATTGTCATTTGACACAATCAATGGACGATTTGATTGGCATAAAAATTTTATTATATTTTGCATGATTTTAAATTTATTGCATCAAAGAGTATAAAATTATTTGACTAGTCAACTTCAGCTCTCTCTGTTTTTTTTTTTTTTACCCGAGATTATTCAGTTTCACATTAAATAAATGTGTGGTGCAATGCCTCCTCGGTCACTAAATAAAAGTCTAATTGTTTAAAAACACACCCAAAAAAAATGTACCAAAATCTATGTACCATATAATTAAAAAGTAAAACACACAAGTCTAATTGTTTAAAAGGTTGGATATTTAAATGCATGTAAGATAGTGCCATGAGAGGTGATCGGAGAAAAATGGAATCGATGGGTTGGTTATTGGAGGCATCTTCATCATCAGCTTCGAATGCTTCAAAACATGTCGACAAGAACGAAGAGAGCAGGAAGATAATTGGTTGATGAAAAGCGAGAGGATGTAAAACAGCAAGAGACAAAAGATGGCGTAAGGAGGAGGAGGATGACTTTGCCGCAGTCATGGTTCAAACACAAAGCAGAAATGTGAGGGTGAGTCTTAATTTTTAGTTTCAGTTGGAATATTTTTTTTTTAAAAAAATATAACTTTAAATTTTTATATTTTACTTCAATTTTTTTATAAATCTTTATAATTTTTTTAATGTTTTAAGTTTTGACATTTTTATTTTTTAATGTTTTAGGTAAAACATCAAAAAATAAAAATAGAGAAACTTAAAACATTAAAAAAAAGTGTAGGGATTTATAAAAAAATTCGAGTAAAGTATAGAAATTTAAAATTATGTTTTTCTTTTTTTAATTACAAAAAGGACCATGAATCTTAAATTTAATTTTAGAACTTTGTGATCCTTAATTATGATTACCATTTTTTCAAGTCTTTAGTTGTGATTTTTTTTAAGGGGCTTTTGCATAAAGTCCATATTATATTATCAAACCAAATAAATAACTTAACATTTATTATATTTTATATCATAGTCAGTTTATTATATTTGTCAATGATATACTGTTATATATCAATGATAAATCTTTTTTAAATTTTTAAAATTTTAATTATCAACTGCTTATATATTAATGATAAACTATTTATATATCAATGTGAACCAGTTACACTCTCAATGTTTAAAAAATTTGGTTCATATTTTGTAGGCACAAGTTTTTTTTTTTGTCCGTAAGCCAATTTATCCTTCTTTTAATAAAAAAATCTGAAAATAAAATCAATAACCAATAAATAGGATTAAAGTTTATTTTTACTCTTAAACTTTTTTTCAAGGAACATTAGGCATCATATACTAATAAGTGAACTAATTTTTTTTCCCGAACTATTTTTTTAAGAGTAAAAATATCCCTTTATTAGTTATCAATTAACTCTGTTGTTTTTTTGCTAGTGTGGCATGTCTTTAATGCTAATTTATTTGTGAACTTTTTTTTTAGAAGTGCCAAAAATCTTAAAATTTTTTAATAATATTTATAAATTTTTATAAATATTTATAAATAATAATATTTAAAATTTTAATATTTTAATAATATTTATTAAATTTTATTTTAATAAAATTTTAAGGTGCCCAATGCCTTTGAAGAAAGAGATCAAGGACAAATTAAAAATAAATTAATAGATCATTAATATTTTTTGAATTATATTGATAGATCACTGATGGAAAGATATTTTTAATTTTTAAAAAAATGGTTAAAAAAT